AATCCGCTGTACTGCCAGATGTGTGGTAACTACTTGTGGATTATAGTAGAATATCTAGCTATAGGGTTTCATAATTGCTGTTGTGTATAAAACTAGAATAAGAGCTATTTATTAAAACTATTATTGTAAAGTAATACTTTAAGTGGGATCCCTTGGTTGTTTTAAGCATAGGGTGGACATGAATGAGATTGGGTGGAAATATATAGGAGCTGCCTCGTATGGGCCAATAGGACCTCTGCAGTTACCTTTATTCTTATGTTCAGCTCACCTGCTATGCTGCCAGATGTACGATTCTGCTTAAATTGCAGTACGACATTTGGGTTTCTGTTATACTTTTGAACTTATCACTGAATAATGATTACAGTTGTGGATGACTAAAATGTATATTCTTATACCTCTGATTAGGTTAGGTGGGGATGGATAGTCTAGTCATTTTTTATTAATAACATCAAATACACATGCCAGTAGGACGCCAAAGGTCGCATTGGTTGTCTGGTGACGTCATACATAGTTGACCAGTCAGGCGCTGTAATACCTTCACACCTATATGCTAATGGCCAGCAATACCTTATCCCTATACCTGAGGTCGCTTTTCGTGATGTCACTAAACAACAACAACAACTGGTCTGTAGAATGTATTTGTTTGTTATATATAATAAGTTAGGTTAGGTTAGGTTAGGATGGTTTGATCGGGTTTATGAATAACAGAAAATATAAGCAATGAGCGAAAATACGAGCTATTGTAGCTGAATATCAACTCTGATGAAGCACAGAGTACAGTTGAGGTATTAAGCCAGATTAAGAGTTCACACTTATGTGTGAACCTCCTGGGATCCGCATTTAGCGTTGCGCCTCGCGCCGCATTAGGGATGATACGTTTTAAAACGGTAACTGCAGAAGGCTTGCTTTTACTGAATGAGATTTTTTTATTTGTTATTTGCCAATGAGGAGGTATGTGTTTGAGCGAATGTGAGGTGTGTATGATGGTTAAGGCATCAATATTGGTTTACTACTGAACTCGCATTGAAATCACCAATGCCCAGGGCTCTATTTTTTCATATAAACGACTGATAGCAGTTTTTTCATTTTATTTTTGCCCTATGCATAATAAACGATCCTTCAAGAAAGATTGTCAAAGCTCAAATTACATTCTCTAGAACGATGACGAAGAAGAAATAGGGGTGACATGATAGAGGTGTGACTGAATGGTCATAGTAAAGGGGAATATTAATAACCTATTAACGTATCAACATGAAACAGAATAGGAATGAATTGGATAAGTTTTATATTTAGGAAAAAGACCTGGGTAAATACAGGCAGCAGGGACGAACTTGAAAATACACACATAACTTCTTGCAGTGCTGAAGTTATGTTCTTCCCTCACATACATGATCCCCTTTGATAAATGTAATGGGCGATGGTTGGAAGTAAATATGAAATTAAAAATAGACTAGGCATGATGGTATTTTATATTAGGTTTCAAGGTCACTGTTGTATCGCAAAACACACGACTCATAGACCGGCTTTTTAATCTCCTTGAACATGCCGGTGCAGGAACGCTGAGCGGCTAGCTGGTGACGTCATTGACCATTAGCAATGTCTGTGCAGGGTCACTGAGCCAACGAAATTTGGGGATGCCAGGGACCGGCCGTTTAATCCCTTGAGCGAAAATGGCAGGGGCCATAGAGCGACTTGTAGAAAACCCAGGGTGCGTAGAGCGGCCCTGGGAAAAACCAAAACGGCCGGTATAAAAGTTGAAAATAACCCTGCGACGTAGAGCGACCCTGGAAAAAAACAAAATTGCTGGTCTAAAATTTGAAAATAACCCTGACTCCATAGAGCGGCAGTCGAAAAAAACAAAATTGCCGGTCTAAAAGTTGTAAATACCCCTGACTCCATAGAGCGGCAGTCGAAAAAACAAAATTGCCGCTCTATGGCGTCGACTCCATAGAGCGGCAGTTGAAAAAAACAAAATTGCCGCTCTATGGCGTCGACTCCATAGAGCGGCAGTCGAAAAAAACAAAATTGCCGCTCTATGGCGTCGACTCCATAGAGCGGCTTTCGAAAAAAACAAAATTGCCGCTCTATGGCGTCGACGCCATAGAGCGGCAGTCGAAAAAAACAAAATTGCCGCTCTATGGCGTCATTTCCACTACTGATAGCCACTCTGGGGTACTGGCCACTCTGGGGTGATGGACACTCTGGACATGATGGCCACTCAGGGGTGATGACCACTCTGGGATGATAGCCACTATAGGGTGATGGCCACTCTGGGGTGATGGCCACATTGGGGTGATAGGCACTCTGGGGTGATGGCCACATTGGGGTGATAGGCACTCTGGGGTGATGGCCACTCTAGGGTGATGGACACGGTAGGGTGATGGCCACTCTGGGGTGAAGGATACTCTGAAGTGATGACCACTGGGGCGATGGCCACTCTGGGGTGATGGCCACTCTGGGGTGATGACCATTCTGGGATGATAGCCACTCTGGGGTACGGGCCACTCTAGGGTGATGGCCACTCTGGGGTGATGGACACTCTGGACATGACGGCTACTCAGGGGTGATGACCACTCTGGAATGATAGCCACTATAGGATGATGGCCACTCTGGGGTGATGGCCACTCTGGGCATAATAGCCACTCTGGGGTGATGGCCACATTGGGGTGATAGGCACTCTGGGGTGATGGCCACTCTAGAGTGATGGCTATGGTAGGGTGATGGCCACTCTGGGGTGATAGCCATATTGGGGTTATTACCACTCTAAGGTAATGGTCACTTTGGGGTTATGGCCACTTTGGGGCGATGGCCACTCTAGGGTGATGACCACTCTGGGGTCATGACCACTCTGGGGTGAAGGCTTCTCATGGTTGATAGCCACTCTGGGGTGATGGCCACTCTAGGGTGATGGCCATTTTAGGGTGATGGCCACTCTGGGGTGATGGATTCTCTGGAGCGATGGCCACTCTGGTGTAATGGCCTACCTGGACATGATGGCCACTCTGGGATGATGGCCACTTTGGGTGATGTCCACTCTTGGGTGATGGATACTCTGGGGTGATGACCACTCTGGGGTGATGGCCACTCTGAACCGATGGCCACTCTGGGGCGATAGCCAATCTGGGGTGATGGCCAATCTGGGGTGATGGCCACTCTGGGGTGATAACCACTCTGGACATGATGACCACTCTGGGGTGATGGCCACTCTGTGGAGATGACCACTCTGGATATGATGGCCACTCTGGGGTGTTGGCCACTCTGGGGTGATGACCACTCTGGACATGATTGCCACTCTGGGGTGATGGCCACTCTGGAGTGATGACCACACTGGACATGATGACCACTCTGAGGTGATGACCACTCTGGAGTGAGGGCCACTCTGGGGTGATGACCCCTCTGAGGTGATGGTCAATCTGGGGTGATGGCCACTCTAGGGTGATGACCACTCTGGGATGATAGCCACTCTGGGGTGTTGGCAACTCTAGGGTGATTGTCACTCTTGACATGATGGCCACTCTGGGGTGACGGCCACTCTGGGGTGATGGCCACCCTGGGGTGATGACTACTCTGGGGTGATGGTCACTCTGGGGTGATTGCAACTCTGGGGTGATGACCAGTCTGGGCTGATTGTCACTATGGGGTGATGGCCACTCCGGGGTGATGGCCACTCTGAGGTGATAGCCACTCTGGAGTTATTGCATCTCTGGGGTTATGGCCACTTTGTGGTGATGACCACTCTGGGGTGATGACCACTCTGTGGTCATGACCACTCTGGGGTGAAGGCTACTCTTGGATGATGGCCAATCTGGGGTGATGGCCGGTCTTGGGTGATAGATACTCTGGGGTGATGACCACTCTGGGTTAATGGCCTCTCTGGACATGACGGCCACTCTGAGATGATGGATACTCTGGGATGATGGAAACTCTTGTGTGATGGATACTCTGGGGGTGATGACCACTCTGGGGTGATGGCCACTCTGGACATAATGGTCACTCTGGGATGATGGTCACTCTGGGGTGATAGCCACTCTGGTGTGATGGCCGTTTTAGTTTGATGGCACTCTGGGATGATTACAACTCTGGACATGATGGCCACTCTGGGGTGATGGCCACCCTGGGGTTATAGCAACTCTGGGGTGATGGCCACTCATGGGTTATGGCAAATCTGGGGTGATGGCCACATTGGGGTGATTGCTGTGGGATATCTGGGGGCTTGACTCAATTATTTAATTACTTACATATTTTATATAATAACGAAGGACCACCCACTTTTGAGAAAAGAGGGAAACTAATAAAAAGTGATCATTAGAAACACCAGGAAGAACCAGTGTCTATGGATAAATATTAGAAAGAACAATCACTTAAATAAATAATGGACTGTATGATTAATTAACTAAAGTCAGAGCCTCAAACACCTACATTGTGGGGGTATTGCTAGAACTTCATATACGTCTAGGAACTAGTGTGGTTCGTCACCAGTTCATTGTTGAGTAAAGAATATTATGACCAAAAATATTATAGAATCAATAGGTAAATTCAAATATAGAATATTAATGATTGTTAGAATTAAAGAGCAATCATCTAAGTAAACACATCAATTTCCAAAACTCATATGGTAAATATTCGATATGATAATATTATGGATATGTATAATAAAATGGAATAATTAAATGTGTACAAAAAGTCTTAGCTTTAAGACGATTTCTATGACATCGTTCGCGCTTCGTCCTCGTGATCTCAGGATCTCCACACAGAAGCCATTAGAGGTGAATAACATGAATGTAGTTAACGACTCGTTGACTCCTCACATACGAGCTGTAATTTAAAGGATATTACGTAGCATTGAACTAGGCTACTTAAATCTCAAAATTTATGAGAATAGAGAATGAATATTAATGCGGTACTAACGTTGGATTTGTTGTCGTCCCGCTATGTAACGACACACTACCCACGAAATATACAATCTCTAATGATGCATCAAGAAAGAAAATATACTTAGCATGAGAGCAGTAAATGCTGAAGTCTGCCGATATCGCGTCTCAGTCTCAAAGTTCCACGATGTTGTACACGTGATTGAGAGTTTGGCTTGATTCTCGACGCGTTATTGATTGGCCGAGCACTATGGAGCACGTGGAAGAATAATTCTTCGTTATTAGTTGGGTATCAGTGAAATTCTTGCTGATAATCCCAACGCCACGTGTCTCCGACTCTGACGCCACGACTTTCCTCTGTCCAAGTGCGCATGCTGGCTGCTCAATCCACAATGGCGTCTCCTTCTCCTCCAACTCGCGGCGTCCCGCATTCACCACAGCAATTATTTATCACGAATAATACTATTTCGCGCAATTGTGGTTGAAATACTTTAATAAGGACTGGGTTGTGATTCTAGGGATTTAAATATTATTGCTTTCTCGTCTTATGGTGGTAAACGAGAAATGGAGAAGATTATAGTTTTCTCCATGGCATTCACGCGTGACAGAAAAACTATTACATGATAACAATTGTAATTAAAAACTCTCGATTTAGAATTATTTGGGAGTTATGTTATCCGTAAATAATTATCACACGGAATACTGATGATTTTAGAGAACCACATTCAATTCTCTAGCACATTGGCAATAAATGTGTTTAACTAGATATAATCTGACGCAATGTTAGTGCTTTATTTCGTAAGAATTCTAGCATCAATACGCAGATATAATGGTTAGTTTATGTTAACATTACTGTTAGTAAATTTAGTGACTACTGTAGTTAGTATATAATAATAATGATTTATTATAATACAATAGTAGTGTATTAGTGTTGGAAATTTCCAACAATAGCCACTCTGAGGTGATGGCCACTCTAGGGTGATGGCCACGGTAGGGTGATGGCCACTCTGGGGTGAAGGACACTCTGGGGTGATGGCCACTCTGGGGCGATGGCCACTCTGGGGTGATGGCCACTCTGGGGTGATAGCCACTTTGGGGTTATTACCACTCTAAGATAATGGTCACTTTGGGGTTATGGCCACTCTGGGGTGATAGCTACTCTGGGGTTATGGTCACTTTGGGGTGATGGTCACTCTTGGGTGATGGCAACTCTGAGGTGATGGCCAATCTGGGGTGATAGCCACTCTGGAGTTATTGCATCTCTGGGTTTACGGCCACTTTGGGGTGATGGCCACTCTGGGGTGATGACCACACTGGGGTAATGACCATTCTGGGGTGAAGGCTACTCATGTATGATGGCCACTGTGGGGTGATAGCCACTCTAGGGTGTTGGCCACTTTAGGATGATGGCCACTCTGGACATGATGGCAACTCTGGGATGATGGCCACTCTGGGGTGATGGCCACTCTTGGGTGATGGATACTCTGGGGTGATGACCACTTTGGGGTGATGGCCACTCTGCACATGATGGCCACTCTGGGGTAAAGGCCACTTTAGTTTGATGGCCACTCTGGGATGATTACAACTCTGGACATGAAGGCTACTCTAGGGTGATGGCCACTCTGGGGTGATGCCACCCTGGGGTGATGGCCACTCTGGGGTAAGGCCACTCTGGACATGATGGCCACTCTGGTGTGGTGGCCACTTTGGGATGATGGCCACTCTGGGGTGATGGTCACTCTGGCGTGATGGCCACTCTAGGGTGATGACCACTGTGGGGTGATGGCCATTCTAGGGTGATGACCAATCTGAGGTGATGACCACTCTGGACATAATGACTACTCTGGGGTGATGATCACTCTGAACATGATGACCACTCTGGGGTGATGACCACTCTGGGGTGATGGCCACTCTGGGGTGATGACCACTCTGGACATGATGACCACTCTGGGGAGATGACCACTCTGGACATGATGACCACTCTGAGGTAATGACCACTCTGGACATGATGACCACTCTGGGGTGATTGTCACTCTGAAGTGATGACCACTCTGGACATGATGACCACTCTGGGGTGATGACCTTTCTGGGGTGATGGCCACTCTGAGGTGATGCCCACTCTGGGGTGATGGCCACTGTGGGGTGATGACCACTGGTTGATACCTGGTTGATGGGGTTCTGGGAGTTCTTCTACTCCCCAAGCCAGGCTCGACTTGTGAGAGTTTGGTTCACCAGGCTGTTGCTTGGAGCGGCCTGCAGGGCCACGAACGCACCACAGCCCGGTTGATCCGGAACTTCTCCTAGAAAACCGTCCAATTTTCCCTTGAAGATGTCCACGGTTGTTCCGGCAATATTTCTTATAGTCGCTGGGAGGACGTTGAACAACCGCGGACCTCTGATGTTTATACAGTGCTCTCTGATTGTGCCTATGGCACCTCTGCTCTTCACTGGTTCAATCTTGCATTTTCTTCCATATCGTTCACTCCAATACGTTGTTATTTTACTGTGTAGATTTGGGACCTGACCCTCCAGTATTTTCCATGTGTATATTATTTGGTATCTCTTTCGTCTCCTTTCTAGAGACAAGATACATTTGGAGAGCTTTGAGACGATCCCAATAAATTAGGTATTTTATCTCGTCTATGCGTGCCGTATATGTTCTCTGTATTCCCTCTATTTCAGCAATCTCTCCTGCTCTGAAAGGGGAAGTGAGTACTGAGCAGTACTCGAGACGGGACAACACAAGTGACTTGAAGAGTACAACCATTGTGATGGGATCCCTGGATTTGAAAGTTCTCGTAATCCATCCGATCATTTTTCTGGCTGAGGCGATATTTGCTTGGTTATGCTCCCTAAACGTTAGATCGTCGGACATCATTATTCCCAAATCCTTGACATGCTGTTTTTCTACTATGGGAAGATTCGATTGTGTTTTGTACCCTGTATTATGTTTCAGATCCTCATTTTTGCCGTACCTGAGTACCTGAAATTTATCACTGTTAAACATCATGTTATTTTCCGCTGCCCAATCGAAAACTTTGTTGACATCTACTTGTAGTTTTTCAATGTCTTCAGCAGAGGTAATTTTCATGCTGATTTTTGTGTCATCTGCAACGGAAGACACGAAGCTGTGACGTGTATTTTTGTCTATATCAGATTTGAGAATAAGGAACAGTAGTGGTGCAAGGACTGTACCTTGAGGTACAGAGCTTTTAACATCGTTTGGACTCGATTTTATCTGATTGACTGTTACTCTTTGTGTTCTGTTCGACAGGAAATTGAGTATCCAGCATTCTACTTTTTCAGTTATTCCCTTTGCAAGTTCTGTGTATTCTTTCTTTGTATTCTGGCAAATTCTTTGCCTTTGCAAAGTCTGTGTATACAACATCTGCATTTTGCTTTTCTTCTAGGGCTTCTGTGATTTTGTCATAGTGGTTGAGTAACTGTGACAGACAGGATCTTCCTATTCTAAATCCATGTTGTCCTGGATTGTGCAATTCATTGTTTTCCATAAAACTAGAAATTTGATTCCTAATCACTCTTTCAGACACTTTTATTATGTGTGATGTTAGTGCAACTGGCCTATAATTTTTTGCCAAGGCTTTACTCCCCATATTGTGCAACGGAGCTATATCTGTAGATTTAAGTGCTGCTGGTATCTCCCCTGTATCCAGGCTCTTTCTCCATATTACGCTGAGTGCTCTCGCTACTGGTAGTTTACATTTCTTTATGAATATTGAATTCCATGAGTCAGGCCCAGGAGCTGAGTGCATAGGCATATTGTCAATTTCTCTTTCAAAGTCTTCCGAGTTTGTGGTAATATCCGTTATATTATCTGCAGCTTGAATGTCATTCATAAAGAAGCTGTCTGGGTCATCAACTTTCATGTTGTTTATTGGTGTGCTAAACATAGCCTCATACTGGCTTCTTAGAATTTCACTAATCTCTTTGTTGTCCTCTGTGTACGTACCTTCATTTGTAATTAACGGTTTAATACTGGTCGAGGTTTTGGATTTTGATTTTACGTATGTGAAAAAATATTTCGGATTTTTCCTTATCTCTTGTATAGCTTTCTGTTCCAATTCCATTTCCTCAAACTCATATGATCGCTTCACCGTTTGTTCTATTTCTTCGATCTCCCTGCTTAGGTTTGTTTTCCTTGCTTGTGATAGTTGTGTCTGCCGAAGCATTTCCGTTATTTTTTTCCTTCTCCTGTACAGTCCTCTGCGTTCTCTTTCTAGAGTGGTCCTCTTTCTGCCCCTCCTCACAGGTACGTGCTTCAAGCAGACCTTGTAAGCTTCAGCTGTCAGTTGAGCTATTCCCTGTATGGGAGTTTTGTCGCTTAAGACCGTCTCCCATTGAATGGTTGCAAGGTCTACATTTATTTTTTCCCAGTCAATCCTCTTATTGTTGAAATTGAATTGATTGAATATTCCTTCTTGCTTGTTGGGTCTCTTAGACCTACTACCGTTATTTATACTAGTTCACACTTCAATGAGCTTTTGGTCTGAGTATGAAGTATCTGAGATTGTTATGTCTCTGATTAGTTCATCATTGTTTGTGAATAACAAGTCTAGTGTGTTTTCGTTCCTAGTTGGTTCTGTAATCTGTTGATTGAGCGAGACTTTGTCACAGAATCTCAAAAGTTCTCTGACCTGTGGTTGGTTATTTCCCGGGTCATTCCCTGCTATGATATTTGTGTTTGCCATTCTCCATCTTAGACTCGGTAAATTTAAATCTCCAAGGAAGATAATAACTGGAGCTGGGTTTGCTAGGTTGTCAAGTATGTTCTCTATTTTGTGCATCTGCTCTGTGAATTCCTTAATCGTTGTATCTGGCGGTTTATATATTAGAATAATAATTAGGTTTAGTTTCTCTACCTTAATTCCAAGTACCTCTACCTCCTCATTAGTTGAGTTTAGTAGTTCTGTGCATACCAGGTCTTCTTTAATATTCAGACCTATTCCTCCATTTGACCTAGTTTCTCTATCACATCTATATAAATTATAATTTGGAATCCAGATTTCACCATCCATGTAATCTTTTGTATGAGTTTCCGTGAATGCCCCAAATATTGAGTTTGACTCTAATAGGAGGCCATTTATGAACTTAACTTTATTTCTTGACTTTGGCTTTAAACCTTGAATGTTTGCAAATATGAATGATTGTCCATATTGTGTGTCACTTCTGGAAGGTTT